AACTGTGCTCCCCCTAATGAACTAATTCACTTGCATTGTACAAAATTGTGCTCCCCCTAATGAACTAATTCACTTGCATTGTACAAAATTGTGCTCCCCCTAATGAACTGATTGACTTAGTGTATAGTACAAAACTGTGCTCCACCTAATGAACTGATTGACTTGTATAGTACAAAATTGTGCTCCCCCTAATGAACTAATTCACTTGCATTGTACAAAATTGTGCTCCCTCTAATGAACTAATTCACTTGTATAGTACAAAATTGTGCTCCCCCTAATGAACCGATTGACTTGTATAGTACAGAACTGTGCTCCCCCTAATGAACTAATTCACTTGCATTGTACAAAATTATGCTCCCCCTAATGAACTGATTGACTTGTCTAGTACAAAATTGTGCTCCCCCTAATGAACTGATTGACTTGTATAGAACAAAATTATGCTCACTCTGTTGAATTCCTCGATTGGATTGGTAAACGTCCAGAGGTGAGTTTTGTACTGTCCAAGCCTGACTGCTATCAGCTCGTTCCCGCGGTAGTAAAACACTGGTCTGGAAGTAACAATGTCACCTGACACAGTAATACCCTCGAAATCTTTGCATCATCATATCAATTGGGAAGCATGCTTGGCTACGGATCAATTAATTACGGTAAATTAGTTAAATGCAACATGACTTGTGAATGAGTTTGATTTACAAAATCTATATTGATGTGAATTATGTCTATATTATAACTTTCATCCTCAAGTTCAATTTGAAAAGAGTACCTGAATATTTACATTGACAATAATGCTGACGTAAAACAACTTCAAAGGTCTGGGCTGGGCAAACAAAAGTCTGGGTATACATGCTTGTGAAACTGAAAGATCAGGCTTTTTATATGTACACGTTTATATAACAATGAATCGAATGCAATAAGGACTGTTATATTTTGGCTATACTGGCGATTAGAACATGAAATTTGGTTTGAACTAGAGACCGATAGGTGGAGAGTTTAAACCAAATTTCATGTTCTAATCACCAGTATATAGACACGAAAAACAACGTACTATCCCCATTCTAACACACCTTAACAAATACACTACACTAATATGGTTAGAAACATTGTATTTCTTTGCTACAAGTACATAGTAAAGTACCCTGTGACCTGTGTTGGTGACGTGTCATTCTGCAGTGGACTGACCAATCAGAAAGAAGCTTTCAAAAGTCGATCATTTGGCTCCGCCCATACTGGCGAGCACTTGATCTGTATGTTGACGAGGCAGCTTATTTGATTGTTAGTGAACGTCCTCTTACCAAAGTTTATATGACACAATTGGAATAATATTGACCAAATTCTTACATTTCCATGCCATTATATGCATGCCGATCTGTGCGTATCGACAATATCGATGACTATTTGTTTAGATTTGTGAAGAGTTTTATGCAAAATTTATGGGACACCTGTGAAATGTTTCATTTGATTTCAGATCTAACTATATATATAGATGCCTTCACACGGATGGAATGATCATTTCAGTTATAAATGGAGGAAAGAACAAGGAATGTTTATTTTTTACTTTTTATTGGTCCTTTCTGTTCTGTTGCCTGCTAGCCTTATCAGTAGGATTTCGCTAAGACTGGCAAGCTTGACGCCATATTGTTTTGGTTAGGAATGGGGCGTGGCTTAAGTGCGATGGGAGGAGCTTAATTAACACGATTGATCATGATTCTGTCACAGATTAGAACATGGTCGGTATCCAATCAAAACACGCATTGCAAACGAATCGTGTTAAATTACATTGAGACAATTTCCAAGAGAGGGTAATTTTATCACTGCTTCCATTGGGATCAACCCACGACCACCAGTCTGACGATTGAGCTAAAGAGAAATTTCTTCTAGCTTGAAACTAGAAGGCAATGTAATCCAAAGTATAATTTAAATCTGCCACACTGAAATACCTAAGGATGCAATTCCAGTGCAAGAAAACAGTATGGTTTAATTCATTGGCAAGATCAGTCCTGTAAGTCTTATACTGGAGACTACCTATTAAAGCACAGGTATAGTGAGTATTCTACACACCTCTGGACTACAGCGTTGTTAACGAGAGTAGAGCGCAGGCTGATGCCATCTATAGGTCTGTCTGTTGGGACCTTGACGCCAGCCAGGTCCAGAAGGGTGGTGTACAGATCCATAGTTGACCCCACCTGATGAGACACCTGTAGGGAAACCAATCCAAACACAGGTGTAATTTACACTAATACACAATTTCTATAATCACCCAGTTTTCCTGAATAACCATTTTCGTGATTCAAATAACTTTTCAACAGTTTGAATATTTGAAAGAAGTTTTATGTTCTATAGATAATTTTGTTTAGGAAAGAGTTTGTGAGAGGGTGAAAATATCAATTTTTTTCCATATCCATAAACAGAATCAAACTAATTTGTCAATTACTGGTACCAACACCCACACTGTAGATTCTACATGAATAGTAGCCTACCTCTGCTCATCTCTTATAAAAATGTGACTTACCTGTCCTGCTGGTATTGTCCCCGGCCACCAGGCTATGGCTGGCTCCCTCACACCTCCCTCAAATGTTGTCTGCTTCCCACACAGGAACGGCCCATTACTGCCCGCTAACATAAAACATATCACTTTTTAATCTTTTTTAAACTAACAGAAACTCTGTTGTGTATTACCTCAAAAATAAACAAATTCACTGCAACATAGTTCTGTTACAATCTTTGCGATATACAATGTGTCAAACCTTCATGATCTTTACAATCTCAGCCACATATAATACCTTAAACCATCATTATTTCTCAATCTCTGAGAAATACAATGTGTCAAACCTTCATGATCTTTACAATCTCAGCAACATATAGATGCTCAACCATCATTATCATAACAATCTCTGAGCATATTATGTATTAACCGTTCATGAACTCTCTATGCTTATAACCACATACTCGTTAATCTGCAACCTTCAAACATCCACACTTCGATGACTATCATATTCTCTACCCTCTAAGGCTGATGGCCCCTTTACCCTAATTGATAGTAAATATATCGATGAACTACAAACCTCAAACACTCATGTGACCATCCTAATCTCCATGACCTATTAACAAAATCCATGATATCCATGAGCTAAATGACGCTCACATTTTTCTGAATGTCGCAATATTTAGCCTCTAAACCTTTTCTGGATTTCTGAACGTACCTGAAGTTTTGGCATAAGTTGCTGCTCCATTGTCTGATGTGAAAAAAACGAATGTGTTCTTCTCAATGTCTAGCAGCTTCAGTGTCTTCAAAATCTCACCCACTGCATAGTCAAGTTCCCGCACTGCATCTCCGTACCTCAACAAAAGCAAGAATACATTCTATCAAGATAACCCTTCTCCCTTTTTGAAGTGAAAGTGTCATATTTTGGTAATTATGAGTTTGTTTTGAAGAATATGCTCCATTTTAATATCGACTCAAAATTTCTTGGACTAAGAAAGGTCAAAAAACCAAAAGGCACTTTCTGCTGTGTGATTGATACCCTGGAAGGTAGTCACTTCTCAGGTGCCATTTCCATCACAACGTAAAATTTCTTGAGATCAGAAATTAACAAGAGGCCTTAATAGCTCACCCAGAATTCATTATTTTAATTTTAAACCAGTCGAATACCATACACTTTTATCAAGTGTATATGGATTCTTTAGAAGAACTTGTTCCAAGTTTTTGACATATTTGACCCCTGTGACCTCAAATAAAGCTCTAGGTCATATTTGTTAGCAAACGTTTTCCGGCTTCATCCAATCTAAATAACTGTCAAATATCGTGACTCTAAGCCTTTTAGTTCTTCAGAATAAGTTGTGATAGTTTTTTTAAATGTCTGACCTTGAATAGTCAGTCAAGGTCTGTGGTTTTTTTCACCATTTCTCCAAAACTTGCAAGGCTCCACCCCAGGAAGCTACCAGCCAAATATCGTGGTTCTAGGTCAATTCTTCAGAAGAAGTTGTCAAAGTTTGTGACATATTCAACCTATGTGACCTCAAATATAGACCAAGGTCATATTTTTTCTCAAACCTTGTAAGGCTCCACCTCAGAAAGCTGTCAGCCAAATATCACGACACTAAGCTTAAACCTTTTAGTTCTTTAAAAGAAGTCGCTTGAAATTTTTGACAAATTTGACTTCTGTGACATTGAAAGGAGGTCAAGGTAATTTTGATTTGCAAATGGTGTAGCCCTCCATCCGAGGAATCTACCAGGCAAATATGACTCTAGGTCTTTCAGTTCTGTAGAAGAAGGCGTAAGTTTTTAATATGTTTGACCTCTGTGATCTTGAAAGAAGGTCAAGGTCTTTTTTGTTCAAAAATGTTGTAAGCCTCTATCAATGGAATCTACCAGCCAGATATAATGAATCAAGGCCTTCTGATGCTCAAAAGAAGTCATATAAGTTTTTTACCTTTGTGACATTGAATATAGGTCAAGGTCATATTTATTCACAAACGTTGCAAGGCTCCACCTCAGAAAGCTACCAGCCAAATATCATGACAAGAAGCCTTTTAGTTCTTCAAAAGAAGTCCTTTGAAGTTTTAGACCTACTAGTATTAAAACCATGTGTTCTTAAAAGTTGATCAAGGTCAATTTCATTCAAAAAATTTCTGGGGCTCCATCAGAGTAAGATACCAGCCTTATATCACAAGGCTAGGCCTTTCGGTTCTTCAAAAAAAGTCTTTTGAAACTGAAGACATATCTGACCTCAGTGATATTGAAATAAGGTTGAGGTTATTTTTGTTCACAAACTTTGTTGGTCTCTATCCAAGGAAGCTACCAGCAAAATGTCATGACTGTAGGCTTTTGGTTATTTTTAGAAGAAGTCCTTTAAAGTGAAAGTTGATGACAGATGGACAGACGACATTTGGCTCTTCGGGCTAGTCGAGCTAAAATATCTGTTGGATTAATTTGAAGATAAAATCTGCCTGTAGAGTCAAATATGCCAAAAATGTCAAACGATTTCTTCTGAAGAACCAAATTACTTGAGCCTATTTGGCTGGTAGCTTCAAGGGGTGGAATCGAAGAAAGTTTGAGAAATAATTATCCTGACTTTCATACAAGGTCACAAGGATCAAATATGAAAAAACTTTAACCAGCACCTTCTAAAGAAGACATCAACTTAGCCTAGAGTCATTGTATTTTGCTGGCAGGTTTCTAGGATGGAGTCCAACCAAGTTTGCATATAAACTGGTAATTATCAAACAACAAAAAACGAGGAAAGCTACCTGCCACGTCTGCTGGTCTGGTAGAACTTCTCTGACACATACAACGGATCATGGGTGGCATCTGGGGTCCAATACAGGAAAAATGGCTGACCTCTGAGAGTCTGGTTCTGAATAAACTTAACCCCTTCCTGAAACAGTTGCCAGGTAAAATATCTGACCTTTGTAGTTAAACCTTGAGGGGTAATGTCAATGGAAAACAGGAAAATGTCAAAGGAAGACTGGACATTGTCAATGGGAAGGATTGAAAATGACAAGTAATTGCTTGAAATATCAGAGAAAAACATGAAAACTGGAAAATGCTTGAAAATTTGAATAATATTCAATATATTGTAGATAATGTGAAAACAGCTAGGGCTGGTAATAGCTCAACTTTTGTTGGAAAATCATTAAGAATATGTCATGACAAAAAGAAATGCTCATCAAATCGGGAAAATGTTTAGGACATTCACATTATTCTTGTATCCTATCAATCTGATTGAATTTGCTTAACTTTTACTGAAGTAGATCTGTCAAGTTTTCAAACCCAAAACATGGAAAATGGATAAGAACGGTAATGAACTTACATCCAGATACATGAGAGTTAAGTTGGACAGCCCCGTATTTTTGTCTATGATAAACTGCTCGTAGTACCTACAACGACACAAAGTAAAGAATTTATCATAAACTGTTCATTGTAACTTACATCGACAATTGTACCTTACAACCATAACAAATACAGAATTAATCACAAACTGCTCATAGTAACTTACAACCACGACCAATACAGAATTTATCACAAACTGCCAGACTTTGTTTCTCATTATTTGCTTGGTCATAGCTTTATAAAGAGACCAATCATTCTTGGAACATTGCAACAAAAAGTATCACTTTGATGATATCCATTGGTTACCAGACTTCCAACTGGTAACCAGGAGTTAGATTGGATAAAATAGGTTTACCTGCCAGACATTTCTGCATCTCTGTAGACAGGTATGTTTGGTGTGTTAATATCATCGTAGGGTCCAAAGTGACAGTTGGGGGCACCAAACCACTCATGGAAGCCATGTTTGAGCGGTAGGTACTGGGGGCGGTGTCCCAAATGCCTGTAGAAGTATTGTGAAACACTTCAACAACTAGAAAATGTCTGTAAAACATGAATGCCCCCGCCGCCATTTGAAATTAGTTCAGTGTTTGATGTTCTATAAATAGTTGCCAAGTGTTTACATTGAATCCGGACGGACGGGACAGGACGGGATGGGATGGACATGGGCAACACTATATGCCCCCCATTTTGTGGCAGGGGCATAAAAACAAATAATTACACTTGAAACATTCAATTTTTAAAGAGATATTTTTTCTGACTGTATTTTTTGTCAGCATAATTATCTTATATCTTCATGCTATTTTCAGATTGTGAAGTGTTAATTCAGAAAATGCTAGCGGTATATTATAAGGGAATTGACAGTTTGATAGCACTGTAACCTTGTATGTATGTGATAATAAAGAAACATGCAATGGTTCTATTTCACTGGTGAATGCAAGTTTTACCATACAGAATTTGAATGGATGCTTAACATCTTTTCATCTACTTACCATTTACCAACGATCTTGTTACGGTACCCAGCCTCTCCCAATAGTTCCGATAAGAGAATTTCTGAGTCTGGAATGCCTCCCATAATGATCTGAGGGGTGTAGGCTGTAATATATAATATGTAACCGATGTCTGGTATATCCTTTAATGATCTGAGGAGTGTAGGCTGTAATAAATAATATGTAACCGATGTCTGGTATATCCTTTAATGATGTGAGGGGTGTAGGCTGTAATATAGTGTGGGCCCTGTCTATAGCAACCACTGTCTGGTATATCCCATATTGATGTGAGGGGTGTAGGCTGTGATATACAGTAAGGAGGCTGTCTATAGCAACCACTGTCTGGTATATCCCATAATGATGTGAGGGGTGTAGGCTGTGATATACAGTAAGGAGGCTGTCTATAGCAACCACTGTCTGGTATATCCTTTAATGATGTGAGGGGTGTAGGCTGTAATATAATGTGGCCCCTGTCTATAGCAACCACTGTCTGGTATATCCTGAATGATCTGAGGGTGTAGGCTAATAGAATCCATCCCTGATAAGAGGTATGGATAAGGTAGTTCAAACCCAAGGGATAAAGTATTGAGCAGGAGACCCGAGGCTTTGCCGAGGGTCTTTTGCTAAATATTTTATCCCGAGGGTTTGAATTACCTTATCCTTACCTCACATCAGGTATGGATTCTATTTCTTGCCTATTACCTAAAACCTGTAAAAACAGCTGGTCTTCTAGTAAAGACGTAGATTGTCATTTGCATTTCTCATTTGCATATGCAGGACGGATGACAATTGTTAATGACGTCAATGACCCTGACTGAACCCAAAACGTCATAAAATGACGTCACGAATAATAGCGTGATCCTGAAAGGTCACTATAATTCCCCCGCCAGTCTGCGCATGTAAGCGATCTAGACCCGTGGGTCAGATAGAATTTTCCAGCACCGCCGGATATGCGGATATCTCGGTCTAGTATGCAAGAATGTTATATACAGTATGGAGTCTATCCTATAATGATCTGAGGGTGTAGGCTGTTATAAGATCATTACAAGATATACCAGGCTGTTCTATTATAGCAAATACAGTGTTTGGTATATCGTATAATGATCTCAGGGTGTAGACGTTTATATACAGAACAGAACCTGTCTATAGCTACCACGTACATTGAGTCTGGTATAATGTCCTAATGATCTGAGGGGGTATAATGGTATAATGAAGTTTTAGATAATTTCAAAGGCATTACCTAAAATATATTTTTTAAATACATGTACATGTTTTGTTATGAAGTGGGAGGAGGTTTTAAAACCTTACAGTCATGAGCATGGGTGTTGGTTGTGTAGAATCCATTCCTGATTGGCAGACGTCCTGTCAGCAGAGAGGCCCGTGCTGTTACCATGGAGACAAGATGAAAAGTTTAAGCAAAACAATCATCTTCTTAACAAGTGTGACAGATGTTTTCCAAAATGAACTTTTTGTATGACCTACTATGAGTCCTGCTGTACTGCGATAATCAATAACAATAATTAACTTACCCAACAAATAGTTTTCTTTTTGCAAAAACAAACTCTCTGGATAAGCTACATGACACAACTTTTCATATGTGGAACAAAATATCAGGTTGATCTCTTTATTGTTATTTTACCTACTATATATAGTAACACATGCAAGAGTGATTCCTGCTGGAGTAGCTTGTTAATATTACAAGTAACTATTACATAGCTCACTATTGGTACATTAGTACAACCACTACTACACAGCTTACTGCTACCTCTGTATATTATATTGTTGTAGACATATAAGAAATATTACATGGAGAGCAGATTGGGTTTGCAGAGTAGAAGTCTGGAAATAGCATCCCCTCAGCAGCCATTTTGTCGAGGTTTGGTGTTTCTTTGTTTGGTTCTCCAAACACTCCCAGGTCGCCCCATCCCATCTGCCAAAGAGCAATCATAATATGTATATTTTCCTTTTATTTAAAAACATATTTTACTCAATACATGATTTTCAAATTTACCACCTTGCCAAATAATTTCATATTCAATGTAAAAAGTATCTACATGTCTAAATGGGTGTGTTTTGTGTATTTTATGTGTTTGTAACGGTTAAGTTTAACTTGCTGTGTGTACTGAGACATATTGGAGTAAAATGTGAAATATCAAAGCAATATTTCTGTTACATACAACTTTATCAATCATATATTTTCACAAACAATTCAAGGAGGGGTGAGAGTAGACACACCAGGGGATAATGAGGGCAGACATACCAGGAATGATGAGGGCAGACATACCAGGGATAATGAGGGCAGACATACCAGGGATGATGAGGGCAGACATACCAGGGATAATGAGGTCAGACATACCAGGGATAATGAGGTCAGACATACCAGGGATGATGAGGGCAGACATACATGTACCAGGGATGATAAGGGCAGACATGGCAGAGTGATGAGGGCACACATACCAGGGATGATAAGGGCAGACAGGTCAGAGTGATGAAGGCAAACACACCGGGGATGATAAGGGCAGACATGTCAGAGTGTTGAAGGCAAACACACCAGGGATGATAAGGGCAGCCATGTCAGAGTGATGAGGGCAGACACACCAGGGATGATAAGGGCAGACATGTCGGAGTGATGAAGGCAGAGATACCAGGGATGATAAGGGCAGACATGGCAGAGTGATGAGGGCAAACATACCAGGGATAATAAGGGCAGACATGTCAGCGTGATGAGGGCAGACACACCAGGGATGATGTTGACAGACATACCACAGGATAATGAGGGCAGACATACCAGGGGATGATGAGGGCAGAAAAACCAGGAATGATCTGAGCAGACATACTAGGGATGATATAAGGGCAGACATGTCAGAGTGATGAGGGAAGACATACCAGGGATGATGTTGACAGACATACCAGGGGATAATGAGGGCAGACATACCAGGGATAATGGGGGCAGACATACCAGGAATGATGAGGGCAGGCATACCAGGGATAATGAGGGCAGACATACAAGGGATAATGAGGGCAGACACACCAGGAATGATGAGGGCAGACATACCAGGGGATTATGAGGCCATATATGCGAGGGATAATAAGGGCAGACATACCCTAGATAATGAGGGCAGACATACCAGGGGATGATGAGGGCAGAAAAACCAGGAATGATCTGAGCAGACATACTAGGGATGATGAGACATGTCAGAGTGATGAGGGCAGCCATACATGTACCAGGGATGATAAGGGCAGACATAGGGGATAATGAGGGCAGACATACCAGCGATGATGAGGGCAGACATACCAGGGAATTATGACGCCATATATACGGATAAGGGCAGACATGTCAGAGTGAGGAGGGCAGACATACCAGGGATGAAAAGGGCAGACATGTCAGAGTGATGAGGACAGACATAACAGGGATGATAAGGGCAGACATGTCGGAGTGATGAAGGCAGAGATACCAGGGATGATAAGGGCAGACATGGCAGAGTGATGAGGGCACACATACCAGGGATGATAAGGGCAGACAGGTCAGAGTGATGAAGGCAAACACACCGGGGATGATAAGGGCAGACATGTCAGAGGGATGAGGGCAGACATACCAGGGATAATGACGGCACCCATACCAGGAATGATAAGGGAAGACATACCAGGGATGATGAGAACAGATATAAATGTACCAGGGATGATGAGGGCAGACATACCAAGGATGATAAGGACAGTAGGAATGATGAGGGCAGACATACCAGGGGATTATGAGGCCATATATGCGAGGGATAATAAGGGCAGACATACCATAGATGCAGACATACCAAGGATGATAAGGACAGAAGGAATGATGAGGGCAGACATACCAGGGGATTATGATAAGGGCAGACATGTCAGAGTTATGAGGGCAGACATACCAGGGATAATAAGGGCAGACATGTCCGAGTGATGAGGGCAGACATACCAGGAATGATAAGGCCAGACATGTCAGAGTGATGAGGGCAGACATACCAGGGATGATGTTGACAGACATACCACAGGATAATGAGGGCAGACATACCAGGAATGATGAGGGCAGACATACCAGGGATAATGAGGGCAGACATACCAGGAATGATGAGGGAAGACATACCAGGGATGATGAGAACAGATATAAATGTACCAGGGATGATGAGGGCAGACATACCAGAGATAATGAGGGCAGACATACAAGGGATAATGAGGGCAGACACACCAGGAATGATGAGGGCAGACATACCAGGGGATTATGAGGCCAGATATACGAGCGATAATAAGGGCAGACATACCACAGATAATGAGGGGAGACATACCAGGGGATGATGAGGGCAGAAAAACCAGGAATGATCTGAGCAGACATACTAGGGATGATGAGGGCAGACATACCAAGGATGATAAGGACAGTCATATCAGGGGTGATGAGGGCAGACATACTAGGGATGATAAGGACAGTCATACCATGGATGATAAGGGAAGACATACCAGGAATGATGAGGACAGACAAACTAGTAATGCTGAGGGCATACACACCAGGGATGATGAGGGCAGATATACCAGGGATGATGAGGTCAGACATACCAGGGATGATGAGGGCAGACATACCAGGGAATTATGACGCCATATATACGAGGGATAATAAGGGCAGACATACCACAGATAATGAGGGCAGACATACCAGGGGATAATGAGGGCAGACATACAAGGGATAATGAGGGCAGACATACCAGGGATGATGAGAACAGATATACATGTACCAGGGATGATGAGGGCAGACATACATGTACCAGGGATGATGAGACCAGACAAACCAGGGATGATGAGTTCAGACATACTAGGAATTCAGAGAGCATACAAACCAGGGATGATGAGGGCAGACATACTAGGAATTCTGAGAGCACACACACCAGGGATGATGAGGGCAGACATATCAGTGTGAAGGCAGACAAACCAGGGATGGTGAGGGCATACATATCAGAGGTGAGGGCAGAAATACCAGAGGAGATGGTAGACATACCAGGGATGAGGGCAGACATATCACAGGTGAGGGTAGACATTCCAGGGAAGAGGGAAGAAATACCAAGGGAGAGGTTAGACACACCAAGGAGGAGGGCAAACATACTGGGGATGAGGGCAGACATACCAGGGGTGATGATAGACATACTAGGGGTGATGAGGGCAGACATACTGGACTGAGGGTAGGCATACCAGGGGTGGAGGTAAATCCTCATTGAACTGGGGATCAGGGCAGACATATCACAGATGAGGGCAGACATACCAGGGGATTATGAGGGCAGACATACAATGGATGATGAGGGCAGACATACCAGGGGATTATGAGGCCAGATATGCGAGGGATAATAAGGGCAGACATACCATAGATAATGAGGGCAGACATACCAGGGGATGATGAGGGCAGAAAAACCAGGAATGATCTGAGCAGACATACTCGGGATGATGAGGGCAGACATACCAAGGATGATAAGGACAGTCATATCAGGGGTGATGAGGGCAGACATACTAGGGATGATAAGGGCAGACATACCAGGAATGATGAGGGCAGGACATGCCAAGGGAGAGGTTAAACATACCGGTGGTGAGGGTAGGCATACTAGGGGAGAGGGCAGACATACCAGGTTAGAGATCAGCCATACCAGGAATGAGGACAAACACACCAGGGTTGAGGGCAGACATACTAGGGAAGAGGGCAGACATACCAGGTTAGAGATCAGCCATACCAGGAATGAGGACAAACACACCAGGGTTGAGGGCAGACATACTAGAGGAGAGGGCAGACATACCAGGTTAGAGATCAGACCTACCAGGCATGGTGAGGGAAGACATGAGGGGATAGGGTAAACATTCAGGGATTTATATTACAGCATTTTGAGGTTTATCTGAGCTGAAACAGACAAGTTCTTTTTTTAGAGATATTTATATGCTCATATATGCAGGTATTGATATATCTAGGCTAAGAAAGGTATGATATTCAAGATATTATCAAACACATGAATAATAAAGTTGGACTGCCATGTGACTAAATTCTTTATATTGATTTTTGTACATGTGACAATGACAAAAAGATAAATCCTATTGATCAAGAAGTTTCCAAGCTTTTTTATTTACATGTGTGTGTGTGATTCAGGGAATCATCACAGCAGCCTGTCACAAACTCTAATCATGTCAGTGGTGATGGTATGTATCGTGTATAGAGCTCTAACTGGCAAAACCTTTGTGTGTATTTTAAATTTGTAGACTAAAACATTGCTAATGCCAATATCAGGAGATTACTCTTTTGTATTTACTTTGTTGAATTTTTTAGTCTATATATAAAAGAAATGTGAGCAGCATAAGAGATAAAATAGGTCGCTGCTCAAACTTGTTTTGCTTTAAATCTATTCTATATGTTATCATCAATACCTCATTTGTGTGTTTTGAATATATAAATATTCTAAGGTCAGTCAAATGAAACTGTCTGCAATGTTGGTAGTAATAAACTATATAAAATACACAGTAAAGTATATGTACAACTTGTAGTTGAGCAGAACCCAGACAGTCCTGAAACATACTTCACCAGACACCATATAAAACATTTAAATTAGTTTAAACCCTTGTTTCATTCTTTCTTAATAACTTTTAAATCTGAACGACTGGAAATTTTCTAGACTGATGAGATTCTACTGCACACAGAAATCAGTGTTCAGCATGATGAGATTATACTGCACACAGAAATCAGTGTCCAGAATGATGAGATTCTACTGCACACAGAATTCACTGTCCAGCATTATGAAATTCTACTGCACACAGAAATCAGTGTCCAGCATGATGAGATTCTACTGCACACAGAAATCAGTGTCCAGCATGATGGGGTTCTACTGCACACAGATATCAGTGTCCAGCATGATGAGATTCTACTGCATACAGAAATCAGTGTCCAGAATGATGAGATTCTACTGCACACAGAATTCAGTGTCCAGCATGATGAGATTCTACTGCACACATAAATCAGTGTCCAGCATGATGGGATTCTACTGCACACAGAAATCAGTGTCCAGAATGATGAGATTCTACTGCATACAGAAATCAGTGTCCAGCATAATGAGATTCTACTGCATACATAAATCAGTGTCCAGCATGATGAGATTCTACTGCACACAGAAATCAGTGTCCAGAATGATGAGATTCTACTGCACACAGAAATCATTGTCCAGAATGATGAGATTCTACTGCACACAGAAAACAAATTTTCTAGACTGATGAGATTCTACTGCACACAGAAATCAGTGTCCAGCATGATGGGGTTCTACTGCACACAGATATCAGTGTCCAGCATGATGAGATTCTACTGCACACAGAAATCAGCGTCCAGAATGATGAGATTCTACTGCACACAGAAAACAAATTTTCTAGACTGATGTGATTCAACTGCACACAGAAAACAAATTTTCTAGACTGATGAGATTCTAATGCACACAGAAATCAGTGTCCAGAAGGATGGGATTCTACTGCACACAGAAATCAGTGTCCAGAAGGATGGGATTCTACTGCACACAGAAATCAGAGTCCAGAATGATGAGATTCTACTGCACACAGAAATCATTGTCCAGAATGATGAGATTCTACTGCACACAAAAATCAGTGTCCAGCATGATGAGATTCTACTGCACACAGAATTCAGTGTCCAGCATGATGAGATTCTACTGCATACAGAAATCAGCGTCCAGCATAATGAGATTCTACTGCATACATAAATCAGTGTCCAGCATGAAGAGATTCTACTGCACACAGAAATCAGTGTCCAGAAGGATGGGATTCTACTGCACACAGAAATCAGTGTCCAGAATTATGGGATTCTACTGCACACAGAAATCAGTGTCCAGAATTATGGGATTCTACTGCACACAGAAATCAGTGTCCAGAATTATGGGATTCTACTGCACACAGAAATCAGTGTCCAGAATGATGGGATTCTACTGCACACAGAAATCAGTGTCCAGCATAATGAGATTCTACTGCACACATAAATCAGTGTCCAGCATGATGAGATTCTACTGCATACAGAAATCAGCGTCCAGCATAATGAGATTCTACTGCATACATAAATCAGTGTCCAGCATGCTGAGATTCTACTGCACACAGAAATCAGTGTCCAGAATGTTGGGATTCTACTGCATACAGAAATCAGTGTCCAGCATAATGAGATTCTACTGCACACAGAAATCAGTGTTCAGCATGATGAGATTCTACTGCACACAGAAATCAGCGTCCAGAATGATGAGATTCTACTGCACACAGAAAACAAATTTTCTAGACTGATGTGATTCAACTGCACACAGAAAACAAATTTTCTAGACTGATGAGATTCTAATGCACACAGAAATCAGTGTCCAGAAGGATGGGATTCTACTGCACACAGAAATCAGAGTCCAGAATGATGAGATTCTACTGCACACAGAAAACAAATTTTCTAGACTGATGAGATTCTACTGCACACAGAAATCAGTGTCCAGCATGATGGGGTTCTACTGCACACAGATATCAGTGTCCAGCATGATGAGATTCTACTGCACACAGAAATCAGGGTCCAGAATGATGAGATTCTACTGCACACAGAAATCAGCGTCCAGAATGATGAGATTCTACTGCACACAGAATTCAGTGTCCAGAATGATGAGATTCTATAGAACATAGAAATCAGTGTCCAGCATGATAAGATTTTACTGCACACAGAAAATAGTGTCCAGAATGATGAGATTCTACTGCACACAGAAATCAGTGTTCAGCATGATGAGATTATACTGCACACAGAAATCAGTGTCCAGAATGCTGAGATTCTACTGCACCCAGAAATCAGTGTCCAGAATGATGATATTCTACTGCACACAGAAATCAGTGTCCAGAAGGATGAGATTCTACTGCACACAGAAAACAAATTTTCTAGACTGATGTGATTCAACTGCACACAGAAAACAAATTTTCTAGACTGCTGAGATTCTACTGCACACAGAAATCAGTGTTCAGCATGATGAGATTCTACTGCACACAGAAACCAGTGTCCAGAATGATGAGATTCTACTGCACACAAAAATCAGTGTCCAGCATGATGAGATTCTACTGCTCACAGAAATCAGTGTTCAGCATGATGAGATTCTACTGCACACAGAAATCAGTGTCCAGAATGATGAGATTCTATAGAACATAAAAATCAGTGTCCAGAATGATGAGATTCTACTGCACACAGAAAACAAATTGTCTAGAATGATGGGATTCTACTGTACACAGAAATCAGTGTCCAGAATGATGAGATTCTATAGAACATAGAAATCAGTGTCCAGAATTATGAGATTCTACTGCACACAAAAATCAGTGTCCAGCATAATGAGATTCTACTGCATACATAAATCAGTGTCCAGAATGATGATATTCTACTGCACACAGAAATCAGTGTCCAGCCTGATGGGATTGTACTGCACACAGAAATCAGTGTCCAGAATGACGAGATTCTACTGCACACAGAAATCAGTGTCCAGCATGATGAGACTCTACTGCACACAAAAATCAGTGTCTAGCATGATGAGATTCTACTGCACACAGAAATCATTTTCCAGAATGATGAGATTCTATAGAACATAGAAATCAGTGTCCAGAATTATGAGATTCTACTGCACACAAAAATCAGTGTCCAGCATGATGAGATTCTACTGCACACAGAAAACAGTGTCCAGCATAATGAGATTCTACTGCACACAGAAATCAGTGTCCAGACAGAATGATGAGATTCTACTGCACACAAAAATCAGTGTCCAGCATGATGAGATTCTACTGCACACAGAAATCATTGTCCAGAATGATGAGATTCTACTGCACACAAAAATCAGTGTCCAGCATAATGAGATTCTACTGCAGACATAAATCAGTGTCCAGAATGATGAGATTCTACTGCACACAGAAAACAATTTTTCTAGACTGATGAGGTGCATGTTCATAGTCACAACAAAGTTCTCTGAACTAAACAGGTTCCATTGTACAAAGAAACTTGAGTGTCCTGGCTAGAGGTTCCATTGTACACAGAAACTAAAGTGTCCTGACTAAAAAGGTTCCAGTGTATACAGAAAACATAAGTGTCCTGACTAAAAAGGATTTACTGTAAATAAAAACTTAAGTGTCTTGACTAAAGAGGTTCGATTAAACACAGAAACTAAAGTGTCCTGAATAAATAGATTCCATTTACACAGAAACTAAAGTGTCCTGACTAAAGAAGTTCCATTGTACACAGAAACTAAAGTGTCCTGACTAAAGAGGATTTACTGTACATAGAAACTGAAGTGTCCTGAATAAAGAGGTTCCATTGTACACTAAAACTAAAGTGTCATGAATAAAGAAGTTCCATTGTACACAGAAACTAAAGTGTCCTGACTTAAGAAGTTCCATTGTACATAGAAACTGAAGTGTCCTGACTAAAGAAGTTCCATTGTACACAGAAACTAAAGGGTCCTGACTAAAGAGGATTTATTGTACATAGAAACTGAAGTGTCTTGACTTAAGAGGTTTCATTGTACAGAGACATAAAAGTGTCTTAACTAAAGAGGTTCCATTATACATGTATGCATACACTAGTATCCAGTTTAACAGTTATTTACATATATTATAATAATGACAACTTTAGGATAACACAGTATTTCAGTACTTTCTCTGAGAACAATCACTCAATTAGGAGAGTGAATAGTAGTTGTCACTATACTAACACTATAAATAGTAGCCCTCCTTAATCTACTGGTGCTCTTATGGACATTCACACTTATTGACAATCTCACTTGACTTGTATTAAAAGCCAGACAGAATGTAAGTGTTTATTACAGCTATACGTAAGCTTTGTCAGCATTCTACCTATAGTGTTGTATACTCTAGTTATTATATGGTGTCCTGTACCTGTACACAATGTTCTATACCCTACAGAACTCTATACATAAGTATGTGTATGTATATGTGGTGTCCTGTACCTGTACACAATGTTCTATACCCTTCAATTTCTCTGGTGATTGATTTTTTAACACTCACATCATCCATTAGCATCACAATGAAGTTCGGTTTCTGTGGTCTATGGCAGCTGACCATCACTAGGACCATACACAGGGTGACCACGGCGACGATGCATCTGTCCATCTTAAGTGTTTATTGTTAGGACAGATGAACTCCATATATACCATTTACAAATCTTGTGACTCAGGCAATCTTAACCACATGACCCGTCATGTGAGTATATACAATAAACTTGTACTTATAGAGGCACCACACAGGAGATTTCATTTTCAATTTCCAATTGAGATAAGAAACACATGCCATTGTAACTCTTGTCTGTTCATTTTTCACAATGTTCTCAGTGTTCAACAAGTAAAACACACGAGAGACTGTATGGGCTTTCAAATCACCCTTTGTCTATCCATTTGTCTGTCCTTCAGCGACGCTTGAAATTTTGAAATTTCGGGGGTGAATGAGTTTGGAGTATGGAATTTAGTAAACTAAGAGTTTGTTATCACTATTTTATCACAAAGTATTAGAGGTTATCCTTCTCAAATTGCACAAGTGTGTTCCCATGGTCCTGTAAGTTTTGCATACTGAATCTTAGGACTGATCAGAAAACCAACTGACCATTTTAATGAGTACTGGAAAAACAAGATGGCCACCAGACAGCCATCTTGTTTTTTTATAGTTCAAGTTAATGTTATCACTTTTTCTTAAGAAGTACTTGATTTCTTGGATTTCTTGCGTTATTAATCGTGGTGTTTTTGGGAGCAAAGACTTAGAACAAGAGGCCCAATGGGCCTGCATCGCTCACCTGGTATTAATCTCACACTTGTAACCTAAAAGCTACAGGCAAAATATCAGTATTAATGACTTATAAGTCATTCAAAACAACCTGTTGAAACATTGTAAATCATTTGACCCATGTGACCTTGATTTTCAAACAAGGTCATTACGTTTAACAAACTTTAAAGCCTTTCATTTCAGCATGCAACTTGCCAAATATAACCATCCTAGACCTTTTGTTTAATGAGATTAGGACATTTACATATCTGACCAAATGTGACCTTGAAAATGGGTCAAAGTCTTAATAGCCTTAAATGACTTAATAGCCCTTCATCCAAATATCAAAATTCTGGGCCTCATGGTTATTCAGAAGTTGTTTTAAGATTTTAAACAAATTTGACCCCTGTCACCTTGATATAAGTAAAGGTCATTCATTTGAAAAAACTTGGTAGTCTTTCATCCAAGCATGGTAATGGCCAGATAACATCATCCTTGGCCTTTTAGTTCTTCACAAGAAGCCATTTTAAGATTTCAAACATATTTGACCTACCCATGTAACCTTCAATATAGGTCAAAGTCATAAATTTTACAAATTTGGTAGCCCTTTATCCAAGCATGCTAATGGCAAAATATCATCATTCTGGGCTGCATGTTTTTTCAGAGGATGTAGTTTAAAGATTTAAAATATATTTGACCCCTGTGACCTTCAAAATAATTCAACATCATTTATTTGTACAAACATTGTAGCCCTTCATCCAATAGGCCTTTTAGTTATTCAGAAAAAGGCGTTTAAAGATTTTAAACATATTTGACCACTGTGACCTCGAATACAGGTCAAGGTCATTAATTTACACAAACTTTGTAGCCTTTCATCCTAGCATGCTACTGGCCAGATATCAACACACTGGGATTTTCGGTTATTCAGAAGAAGACGTTAAAATATTTAAAACATATTTGACTCCAACGACCTTGAATACAGGTCAAGGTCATTCATTTTCACAAACTTGGTGGCCCTTCATCCTAGTATACCACTGGCCAGATATCATCATCCTGATCTTTATGGTTATTCAGAAGAAGTTGTTTAAATATTTTAACATATTTGACCCCTGTGACCTTGAATATGAGTGAATGTCATTCATTTGAACAAAGATGGTAGCCCTTCATTTAAGCATGTCCCTGGCCAAATATCATCACCCTAGGCCTCTCAGTTATTCAGAAGAAGTAGTTTAAAGGTTTGTAAAGACAATTGACTCCTGTGACCTTGAATATGAGTGAAGGTGATCATTCATTTGAACAAGCTTGGTAGCCCTTCATCCCAGCATGCTACTAGCCAAATATCATCACCCTGGGCAGTTTGGTTATTTAGAAGAAGATTTTGACCTATTTGACCCCTGTGACCTTGAATACGAGTGAAGGTCATTCATTTGAACAAACTTAGTAGCCCTTCATCCCAGCATGCATACTGGCCATATATCCCTGGGCATTTTGGTTATTCAGAAGTCGCTATTTTTTTTTAAACATATTTGACCCCTGTGACCTTGAAAATGGGCAAAGGTCATTCATTTGAACAAAGTTGGTAGCCCTTCATCCCAGCATGCTACTTGCCAAATATCATCACCCTAGGCCTCTTGGTTATTCTGAAGAAGTTGGTTAAAGTAAAAAGTTGACGACGGATGGACAACGGACCGACGACGGATGCTGCACCACTGCATAAGCTCACTTGGCTCTTAGGGCCAGGTGAGCTAAAAAGGAGGGAGGAATGTAGCAGAACTGGACTGGGTTGATCGTTTGCGACCAGGTAACGCAATTGGTAGAGTGACCGACTAGAGTTTTGTCGGTTGCAGGTTCTGGCATTTTTCCACTCCTGTTACTTACATCTCTTTACTTTTTTTGTGAATTAATGACATCTTATGATAGATGACTTACCCCGATCATGCATCTTAAATCTTAAATTATATTGGCACTTTTATCATGATAAACAAGCAAGTTGGGTAAAAGTATTTATAGTACATGTCATCAAGCGGTTTCATTCCAAAATATATATGTCTAATCAATAAATAAGAAACAAAATGAAGTTGTTTTGACATTAACAATTTAATATGATCACATGATGCATCACAAAGTAACATAAAATGGCCCTGGAGGGCATGATATGACTGTAACAATGGTTAGGTAGGGTAGGGCTGGCACACTGATCTAAACACCGCAATATTATAGCATTACAGTTATACATAAGATCTAGTTATCAAATGAAGAAAAATTATGAATATGTCGCAAAAATTATATATTTGTTTTACAGTTTTCTGTTAATAAAGGTGTATAATATACTTTGATAGACTAAATTGCTATAATTATACACTGTCATGAATTTCTTCTTAAAGAAGAGCAGAGAAATCAGTAAATACCATATCTGTCATGGCTCCATTGAAAAACATTTGTTATCAGATAGAAAATTTAATGAAAATTAAATTATCATTTTTAGAAAGAATTTTTTTTTAGAGGAAATTCCAATTTTGATATAAAGAAAAGTCTTCAATTAACCAGAATATCAAGAAAAAAAAATCAAGGTTGTTAAATTATGAAATCTCTGCAACAAAATACGAAGATACTTGTTCAAAATGAAAGTAACTTGTAATGTTAAATCCAAAAATGTGAACTTGGTAATATATATATATCATCACATAACTAATACATGTTTATCGTTTCATCAATTCAAGCCAGCACATTTGTTTTTTAATGTTACAATGTAAAATAACATCCTTTTTAAAGCCAGATAGTTTCTCATGTTTCAGTGTGAAATAACATATTTTTTTCAAAGCCAGGTAATTTCTAATGATTAGTGTGAAATAATATATTTCAATTTCAAGCCCTATATTAAACTCATGAAAATTGACTACGATTTATATACAATCTCACACCTTATCAAATGAAATTTACTTGCTGAAGTTTGAGAATATGCCGAATATCCTTAATGAAAGTGGTGATAAACTCACATCTCCAGTTGTCTCCCCTTACAGAGTCCACACTTAGATTCCCTTGCTTACACAGTCCTGTGTTATCTCCCCTTAGTGTTGCGAGAGTAACTCCTCTCTAAGAGCAAACTTGATTCTGACGTGCCGGTCATGCCAGGTTTGGGATTGCGGTTGGCACGTTATTCAGCGAAACTTCTTATCAAACTTGCGAGACTCAAGACACATACATAATCAAGTGGTAGTGCCACCTTCCCAGCGACAACCGACACGCCAGAATCAAGTTCATCCTGATTTATCTGTAATAACAGACCTGAGTTATTTCCCCTTACATTCACAAGAGTAATCTCCTCTCTAAGTTATCTGTAATAACAGTCCTGAGTTTTAGCCCTTTACAGTCACAAGAGTTATCTCCTCTCTAAGTTATCTGTAATAACAGTATTGAGTTATTTCCCCTTACAGTCACAAGAGTAATCTCCTCTCTAAGTTATCTCTAATAACAGTCCTGAGTTATAGCCCTTTACAGTCACAAGAGTTATCTCCTCTCTAAGATATCTCTAATTACAGTCCTGTGTTATATTCCTTTACAGTCACAAGAGTTCTCTCCTCTCTAAGTTATCTGTAATAACAGTATTGAGTTATTTCCCCTTACAGCCACAAGAGATATCTCCTCTTTACTTTATCTCTATTAACAGTCCTGTGTTATATTCCTTTACAGTCACAAGAGTAATCTCCTCTTTACTTTATCTCTAATTACAGTCCTGTGTTATATCCCCTTACAGTCAAGAGTTATCTCCTCTCTAAGATATCTCTAATTACAGTCCTGAGTTATTTCCCCTTACAGCCACAAGAGTTATCTCCTCTTTACTTTATCTCTAATAACAGTCCTGTGTTATCTCCCCTTACAGTCACAAGAGTAATCTCCTCTCTAAGTTATCTCTAATTACAGTCCTGTGTTATCTCTCCTTACTGTCACAAGAGTAATCTCCTGTCTTAGTTTTCTCTAATTACAGTCCTGAGTTATCACCCCTTACACATTCTTGAACTACTGTTGTGTTCTTCGACTAGGACACCTCAAGATAAACATTAGTGTTACCAGGTAATTTTCAATGTGAATATATTTCTTACACATACATTTTACATCAAAAACTGTCTGATCTGACAACCTGTGGAACAATTAAGCTATTGGTCAGATTTTAGACAGAATGTTAGGATACAGGCTGATGATAAGTTTCAATATATACTGTGAAAACATAGGTCAGACTGGCCAGATTTGTCAAAATCCACTTGTGGTCTAGCTAGTGCTCTTATATAAAATTGTTTTCTTGAGTGGATTAAACAGAATGTCAAAATACTCCGGGGTTACGTTAGAAAGGTGTCATTGTATATGTTTATTAGGCCTAGGTGGAGACTTTCAGACAGATATACCCGGTATTCACATACAAATTTCAACAACTGTTTGAATTTAGATCAACTGCTTATAAATCCCTCAACTGGACATTGGTAGAAGGGTGGGTCCTTTAAACAAATTCTACAGCTGAGTCACAAATTAATATCCTTTCTTCTAATAAGCTGGGACATGACTTGAAAACTAAAGTAAAAAAATAAATTCTCTCAGGCTTAGATGACGCTACTAACATGCTTTCTCCTTCAAACACACCATTGAGAGAAGTAAGAGGGTAAATATGTTGTATCAGAGAAGACGGTTTCCTGTAACAATACACCATAACAATAACACGTAATGCTTGTGCACCAAGCAAATCACCAAGCTGTTAGCTAAGGCAGGATGTTTAAGTACCAAACATGCAAACACTTACTATCTTTTGCTAAGTTTGCAGACATTTTTAAATGCCTAATTTCAAATCACATTAGCGATTTACATTAATGCTGACAAACACAACTGAGCGAGTTGTGATATTTCTCACACAGGTAGGGTAAAGGGTACCAACAAGTTAAACTCTATTATTACCATCATCACTATTGTAAAATATCGCTAAGTTCTTTACAGGAGAAATATTCGATAAAAATCACAGGTTGCCATGCATTTTACAGAATTGTAGTTGTTCATAATTTGAATGTTTGAAAATAGAAATAACAAAATGAAACACTCAAACCTTCAGAGGTTAAACTTGGAACATTTACATTGCAAAGCCTACACTTTATCTATTTTGCCACACAGGAGTTACGCAGGCACATCATCAAAATAGGTGTGCAATTTATGGGCCAAGAGCATATGAAAATCAGGACAGGGGAAGTAACTCTAAGCCAGAAAAACTCCTTTTGGTTGCTTCATCTTCTATATATAAGGGAGAATACCTAAGTAAAAAAAATCTGAGTGGAACTCTTCGTGATTACATTTAATTGATGCAGTGGTACCCTTTACCTTAAAGCAAGAACAATAGTGATTAAGTAGTTCAAGAAAGTATATCATATATTAACGAGTATATAACAGTGAAACAGCACAAACAGGTAACAAACAGCACAGACTAGTAACAGAACATGGGAATGTATGGATGTGTATGTCCTCGTAGTGAGTTTAAAGCCAAGCATACATTTACAGGCATTGGTTAATGCTTAAGTACAGTAGTTAAAACATCCGTTAACATCCAATGCTGGACTTTGTTGCAAGTACACTGAACTTCTGTTTTTGCGTACACTCTCAATGTCCAGTAGTTTAAGGTAAAGTTCATCAAATGTAACACAAATCTTATACATGATATTTGCCAAAACTGCTTCATGAACCGTACTTAAAATGAACACAATGAGGACAAAATATTGCGTTCAGACTGAACAAGTTTGCAGATTACACAGTTCACACCAATATCTTAAAGTTCAAGTCCTGGTTCATTATCTCTTTGTACAAATATCACAATACAATGAACATCAACACCGAAACAAGGATACACATTTCTGGATATCTCCGGTTTTGGTTTAGATAGTATGGAAGTACATACAGCTATAAATTGCACACAATATTTATAGTTTTAGATAAATTTAAGCTTTAGTTCTTCACCCCTTGTTTACCGAGGTAATGTTTAGTTAACCTAGGGAACTGTGAAAGGTTTCCAGTAGATCTGCACGACTAAGAAATATCGACCTTAATCGTCCAGCGGTATCGTAGTACATTGGCTGTACTCTTGTCGTAATATCTATCACATCCAAATCTATCACACATATAGTCACAGCAGCTGTTAATTACAAATTGTCAAGGTGTTAATTTTCTGTTAACAAAACAGTTATGTATCACTATTATGTCATGGTTCTGGAAGAACTCACATTGAACATTCTGACTTCTTGTAGGGTCAGTACAATTGTAGGGTCAGTAGTACAATTGTAGGGTCAGTACAATTGTAGGGTCAGTACAATTGTACAATTGTAGGGTCAGTACAAGTCAGTACAATTGTAGGGTCAGTACAATTGTAGGGTCAGTACAATTGTAGAGTCAGAGCAGTTATAATGTTAGGGTCGGTATAAGAAAAGCCACAGAAAATTATTTCAAAACCTGACAAATGTCACAGTGATTAAGGTTCCTTGAAACCTGTCACATGTCACAGTGATTAAGGTTCCTTGAAACCTGTCACAGGAATTCACTTGTAGAAAGTTAGCACTTGTGTATGATGAAATACAATTTCAGCAGATCCTGTACTTGGCTTACAAGTACACCTTCCTTACACAATACTTCATTTGTCATCAATATCACTCACTGTTGGTCATCATTCCTCAGTCTCAATCAGGAGTGCCTCATCACCAACCAGTCATCATGGCTGGCATTCCACAGTCTATTTGGTTTGAAAGTTTAAATTGTATCCAGATGTCAATTCCCTAGTTCCACATGAGTTGTATGCAATCCCTCATGAGTCCTATCAACAAGGTCAATTGGTTGTTCATATATGGGAAGAGAAGGGCTCAGAATCAGAGTCACTAGAAGGATTACTATGGGGTTCTGCAATAGAGGGCCTCATATACGCCTCCTGGAATGTTTGCAGTCGACATTTCGATGGCAGTTGCAACAACTTCTCTATTTCAGCTAGTTCTTTTTCTTTTGCCTGTAATTCAAGGGAGGTAATTAAGAGTACATGATTAATACGAGTTTGACAAATAGGTATATATCTTAACTTATTGTGATTGATAAGAAAGGTAATCTAAGTGAAGTTAGTTAATTTATATCATATTTAAGGACAGTTTACAGAGTATCATTAAAGTAACATAATCTGAGTTTGGTGAACATGATAACCAAGCATCATGAATGGGGATATTTTCTTTGATAATATTCATTAAGAGCACAGAGGAGAAAATACTTTTCACTTGCAAACATGCGGCACGTTTTCAGTTTCCATTAGGGACAGAAATCATTAAGCTTGATGTCATGACGAATTTTTAGCAAAAAAATGTCAATCTATAAACTTCAATAACAGAAGACACTATTCAGAATCAAACTCGACTTTAAAAAAAATGTATTGCAATAGAGCAATATATTCCATGAAATAATGTAATTCATGAAAGTGTGAACCATCAGTTTTAATATCTAAACAGTAAAATTGATAGAGAGCTAATTTCTTTTCTCCTTACCCTGACAGTTCGTTCTAGGGAGTGAAGCTGCTTGACTTTCTTGATGGTGTCTCGACTGGGAAAGTCCTCCCCACCAATGCTTAGCATTGTCTTCCTCTGCTTGCCTCGGTCAGTCCCATCCAGAGTCAGGTCTTCCCTCTGTATGTTCCTCATCAGAGCTCCTAGGTCCCCTGTACTCTCCTGCATACTGGCCGTACCTACACACATCAGACACATCAGAGCACCAGCCAATCATAGAAACACCATAGCTCGCCTATTCCTGATATCTTTCAAGTTAGGAAATATCAATAGAAACACATGTATCTTAATATGTTGTAGGTTGCTGAACTAGTCTTGTTATTGGGGTATGAGCGACTTTCTTTGTTTTTGTACGATATAGGTAACAGTATAGACAATGGGTTACAGTAAAATAACAGTGTTACATATGTCCAACTATCACAAAATATTATTATGATGAAAGAACTTTGACATAAATATAAAGTATATTAGTATATATGTATTAGTGAAGTTGTCAAATGAATATATAGTATATTAGTATATATTATATATTAGTGAACATCAAATAAATATATGGTATATTAGTATATATGTATAAGTGAACATTGACACTTTAAACTGTTATCTAGAGTTTCATGAGAAAATGTCAAGTAAAAAACAGGCAAAAAATTTGAAAAGATTTCCTGAAATTCTGTGAATGTGTGGCAGGAATTCTGTGTAAAGGTGATGAACATTCCCTGAATGTGTGGCCCAAAAACTGTATAAAGGTGCTTATAAAGGGCACCCTCATTCCCTGAATGTGTGGCCCAAATACTGTATAGAGGTGATTGATAAAGGGCACCCTCATTCACTGAATGTGTGGCCCAAATACTGTATAAAGATGATTGATAAAGGGCACCCTCATTCACTGAATGTATGGCCCAAATACTGTATAAAGGTGCTTAATACAGGGCACCCTTATTCCCTGAATGTGTGGCCCAAATACTGTATAAAGGTGATTGATAAAGGGCACCCTCATTCCCTGAATGTGTGGCCCAAATACTGTGTAAAGGTGATTAATAAAGGGCACCCTCATTCCCTGAATGTGTGGCCCAAATTCTGTATAAAGGTGATTGATAAAGGGCACCCTCATTCCCTGAATGTATGGCCCAAATACTGTAGAGGTGATTGATAAAGGGCACCCCCATTCCTTGAATGTGTGGCCCAAATACTGTATAAAGGTGATTGATAAAGGGCACCCTCGTTCCCTGAATGTGTGGCCCAAATACTGTGTAACATGAAAAGTTCATTACAATATTGTACTTTCCTGGTTTCAAGCTTTTCAGATAGTGTTCTATAGCACATGTACAAACTTTTATTGATACCTTAGGTTACAGAAACAGCAGTCAATGTGTTGTATTTATTTCATGTTTCCAAAGCAACCACAAAAACTATGAGTTTTTATACAAAATGAACATTTCTTGTTATACGGTAATAGCAGTCCTTATTATTTTTCATTATACAATATCTCACTGGGGGTTTTCTTAGTGAAACAGATCCATCAGAGGTAACCAAAGGTTGTGTCGGACATGATATCAGTAGGGAGGGGGGGCCACAGGTAACACCTGATCAAGTCTGGTTCCAGGTGAGAATAAAAAAAAAAGGTCAGTGTATGTGTGTCCTGTGCTGTGATTAAAACTTTAAAGCTGTCATCAACATAGAAAATCTTGTGCTGGATGTATAACATACAGGTTTTAGTGATAGACTTACAGTGAGAAAGTGGTTCAGGGCACTCCATGATGATATTGTTAGTGGAATACAGGTTATCTGGGGAGTTGGGTATTGATTCCATGGACGTTTTGTCACATGGAGAGGTGGGCAGGCTTGTTATGGACTCAGAGCTGTTCTTACTAGCTGAGGAATCGTCCTGATCAGGCTCCTCGTCACTCTCACTGAAGCTCGGGTCAGGATCTTTTGTCACTGAAATCAGAATTAATGTCCAATACTCTCCTTTATAATTACAAAAAAAAAAAAAAAATCTTCAAAAGAATATTTTTTCCCCTTACTTTCGTCAGTTTTTATCTTCATCAAACTTTCAAAAATAAAAGATGACTATATGTCTTTCTAAGTAGAAATATTTACCTGTGGGAGCTGGCTTGAATCCGATTGCAGCCAGTCCAAATTTAGTCATCCACCTGAAAGGTATTTGTAAGACGTTTATTTAGAACCATACACTAGTCATTCAAGGATCAATTCTATATAAATGTACCTCTATCTATCTGCCATCTCAAATGCTTGTAACATTTATATACAGAAAACACCAAATCTTGGTCATATTAACACGTTTTCACTGGAACAGACTGTGTAACACTTGAAAACTAAATACAAATAGTTTTGGAATTCAATGTGTCCATTTTGCTCCAGCACCCTAGAATTAAGGGGAAAGAACTCCAAAAGTATCTGAACTTGTGCCTTTTTAGCCATTTATTGGAAATAAAATATGTTCAAACTAACTCCCAGCTAATCTATGGTTCATGGAAATTTTCCTTTATTGAATTCTCTGTAAGTGTAAACATTTAACAAACTTATCACATTGATATTCAGGCAAACTCTGCGCATTGTTAACACACAGATTTCTACTAAGCATTATTAACACACAGATTTCTACTAAGCATCATCCTATCCTACAATGCTCCTTACTTGGACATGTCTTCTTTCCTTTCCGAGGCAAATATGAAGGCCGTCCCAGGATTGTGAATTTTAAATGCTCTGGAAACAAGGAATAAAGAAATGTGGAAAATTGGATTTACTAAGTTTACTAATGATGAACCAGAAGGATTTCATTCATGTTTAAATAGATACAATATGCAAATGATTTATCTATAAGGAACCTTTAGTCACATGTAAACAGTAGATTGTCCAGCTGATCAGTGCCTACTTTCAAAATATCAAGGAGCCAGAAAATCATTCAATTTTCTACTGATAAATGAATTTATTGACACAATACATATATTATAAATATTGAAGACTACTAGGTAGGTATTTATAATTTCCAGACTTCATAAGATCATATCTTAACTTGTCAGTTTCATTTGATCTGTTATACAATCACGTTACTTAGCTCAGCGATGCCTGGATAATAGAAACTCCATCCCAAAATAAACCTACCCATAACATAAACCCCAAACATGCAAGAAAGCAAATTACTGGATTCACCACCATCGAAAAACAAGATCAAAGACAGAAATCAATGAAAGGAATACCGAGGTGAAATGCAAAATAAAAGCCTATCGGAGTTGTACAGCACCCAAGACCTAATTTGATATATAAACATTGGCTTCCCATTAGACCAATAACAACATATTTGTATGACTATACACTATAAACATTTGGTTTGGTGCTGACAGCCTATTTATTAATTGTGTGCTGTTCAGGACTGATATAACAACATTTCTCTGTCACAAATAGCTAGAATGGCCAGTTATAGAAATTAGCGTCCTTTCTGGACACCAAAAACATTTAACTTGGCCATATCAGCCGTTATTGGCATCGTTTATCTCCATTCACACCAATAACTGTATTTGAAGCCCACACATCTGAAATACAAGTAGTCCCCAACAGGAATACCAGTCTGGCTGATATCAAATCAACGGCCAACCCATTAGTCTGCAAAAAAAATGCTCTCGGGCCGTACTGCGGCTTGTGATGATAAAACACAATACTGGTCTGACATATATTGTTTAATGCCTGTGTTGTTAACAGTTCCTGACCAACAGATTTGATTGGCGTAGATGACGTTATTGATAATTCAATATCCATCGTAACGATCTCATGCAGCAATGTAGCAGTTCGCTTAATTAAGTTGGATAACTGAAATAACTAATGAACATGCAATTTTACAAAACTTGAGAACGTTCTGGAACATAATTTTGCAAACTGATTTTCATATATATATATTTGTTTATATCTAGGTAAAAGTTTGTATCTGTGAAATTGCTGAATGCATTAAGTCCTTCAGTGGGTAGGGATTTCCCTACATTACACATGTAGCTTATAGACAGTACCACAAAGCATGAACAGCCTAGAATTAAGGTTCAGACAACATGTCCATAGAAATGCAGAGGAGTCTGAAAATGTGGTAAAATGTCTGGTACACTTGTATGATAAATGTTCACCTTGGACTCGGTTCCTTACTACTACCTAGAGCTAACATCACACAGGCAATTTATGTTTTGTTTATGATAGGCGTTTCAATGCAGTGGCTAGTTTGTAATTATCTTAAAGAGTCATTCAGATATTAAAATTTAATATCCTTAACAGAAACAGAAAAACAAACAAAACAGCAAACCAGAACCGAGAATGTAATATGTCCTGTCAAGACATGTGCTTAACAAACAACAGTCCTGCTAATAGGGAGCACAAAGCATCAACAGATTTACTAAATTTAATTTATTCAAAATGATTTATACAATGTCATTACCATATGTGATTTGTTGTAAGTTTCAATTGTTTCAATTGTGATGTCACGCCTAGGATAAGTTCATGACGTCATAGATTTTTGTCATACTGCAAAGAAAAATGTCGCACGGTGATTGGTCGAATTGCCAAGGTACCTGAAGCTATGTTAGTATCCTTGCCGGGGTACATAAGAGCACGCGCGCCTGTTGTAAGGGAGATAACTCGCAGATTCGAATCGAACACACCGGAGAACGTTCGTCTGCTAATGTCAACAATGAACAAAATGGCGAAACGGTTTGCAAGCCACACGGAGAGTGAAATTGAGACAAAACGGGCGTCACTTATACCTACAAACACAAAGAACAGTAACAATTCAGCAAGCAAAACCTTCAGAGCATACTTAAGCGAAAAGGAGCAAGACACAGATTTTGAGGACTTCTCGAAGCCAAGATTAGACGAGGCATTGGGCCATTTTTATCTCGATGCAAGGAAACAGGATGGGAGTCTTTACAAGACGACAACGCTTGAACATTGCTTTGCAGTATGACAAATTCGTTATACAGGTCTTTGGCAGGGTACATGGTCTCATGTTCGCTGTCAGGACCTTATGTACCCTTCGCTTTCGGCTCAGGGTACATAAGGTCCTGACAGCGAACATGAGACCATGTACCCTGCCAAAGACCTGTATAACTAATAATGCACTGGAGTCAAAATGGCGGCTTTTTACACTTCAATGTTGCATGAAAATTGTTGTTTGACATGAATAAATGCCACAAATGTTGATTATGTGATAAAAAGGATCTTACACTACTTTTCATTTCATATGAAATCGATGAAACTCATCACAAATTTTTCATTTTAGCTCACCAGAGGCTCGCTAAATTGAAAAATTCTAAAGACTTGTTTCATAAATCTCATATGAAATGAAAACTCATGCATGATCCCATAATATATAATATTCGTAAAGTGAGACCTATACAGCAATACAACAGTGTGAAGGGTTTCAGTGGTGCTAACATCGTCACTCATACCAGTGAAAAACACAATAACTGCATCACTGTGACAATTAGTGTACATATACAACATCAACTGTTAACCTGTATTTAAAATAAATAGAATAATTCTATATGCCATGAGCGTTTTTTTGAGAGAAATGTCTAATTACAATCAATGAGTTTGATAAGCTCAATATCAGATGAAAGAAAATAATGAAGAACAAAAAAGCTCAATGGCAGATGAACGAAACAAAGATGAACAAAAAGAGAGATAATTTTGCATCATACAACAGAGATAAGAAAAACGCTGGCAGGAATTGTGGAGAGAATTGAAAAGTCCTACATTTATTGTAACATATGGAAAATCAGAACGCTGTACAACCTGCACAGGGGAATCGATTCCCAGAAGTCAAAATACAGTATTTTGTAAAAGTTGCCTGCTCCAGAAGATATATTTATACCAGTGTTCTGACCACTGCACGGTCAAACTCATTACCTATGGTGAAGGGGGTCTATATATATACCAGTTTATACTAAAAAATAAATAAACATATCTGTTAGGGAAAATACAAAATAGTCCACTAGTCTCACAAAAGGCATTTTCATATGTTTAAAATTTATCGTCTGCAGGATAATAAGTGCAGGAAATTACGGGACATATTACCATTGCTTCAATGACTTAATATCACCGACATCATTTATACATATATACTGAACATGAGACAAACACACATTTAGTTCTAATTTTCATCATAGACACATTGTTAATTTACAAGCTAATATAAACTTGAATGTACAAAACTGCCCACATGCAATGCAAGCATAAAAATTCTCAGGCAAACTAAACATTTTCGAACCAACTGAAAACTTTTTGTATTTGGATGAACCACTTCCAATGAAAGCTTTACATTTGATTTAACATTACGGATAGAAAATATTTGAGGTTGATGCAAATTCCAACAGAAGTTTGAATGCTGGGACTGCTCACTGTAATCACGGAAATAAAATTTAATGCAAATTAATACAGAAGAATATAGCAAATGTCAGACTGTTTCCCAGCCTTATACACTTTTTCACCGAGGAATAAGAATGAAAATAACTTGATGCTAAGAAAAAGTGATGGTTTTGTTCATAGCCTGATCAACTGGATATGTCGGCACATGTCCTCTTTTTTTTTTTAAAGAAAAAGAATTATATTATTTCACCCCAAATTGGGAGCAGCAGTACCAGGATGATAAAAGGAAATACTCCTTCTTTTAGAAAGATTCATTTATTTGTGTATTTTTGTCTCTTGAAATTAATACAGTACAATAACACACATTGCAATCACGAGGTTTCTTTCGATAGTGTTATTTACAGGAATATTTTGGACCAATCAATTCAAAACAGCAAATCCAGTAAAAACTTCAGTTTTAGCATTGAAGTATTCTGATAATTGCTAGCATATTGAACGTCTGTACAGGGAAATATAGTATCTGCTTTACTTCAGTATTTTTTGAATTAGAAAAAAAAATCTCTGCTACATGATGTATCCTTTACTTCATTCTTATTTTTCAACTTTTTTAAAACTTCCTTGATTTTTCAAAATTTCACTGATTTAACCCATTCACCCCTAAAAACACATTTGAACCTTACCATATCAAAGACTGGGCAAGTCTAGTTTAAAAATGTAGGGGTGAATGAGTTAATATTAAAAAAAAGTCCAACGTGTTTGTCACAACATATCAAGGTGAACAGGCTATAAACCCATGAGGAATGAAAACCAAACAGTGTGGACATCCAGGACTAAGGTACTCCCGTACTTACCCAGTACTGGCAGAGAGGCAAACAAGATGATAAAACTATATGGTCAAATACTGTTTGATTCTAACACAATCAATGCCATCAAATTAGTTCATGTTCTTAAAAAAGAACTCCAACCTATGGCATGTATATCCACAGAGAGAAACCATATGGCCCTGGTAAACTTAAATAGCCCACTAGGATGTGACTATCAAGCATAGGAGTTGGCTCCCTATGTTGTACTGTTACACATGTTATTAGCCATTTGTAATTCTTGACTAAAATCCTCTGGTAATTATAATAATGTTTAAAATACCAAATATAAATGAAAATTCATCTTCAACAGTAATGTAATACATACTCGGCACATTCCTTCATATGAATGGCCAGTAATGTACTTACATTCAAACAATTATAAGCATGATTAGCTAAATAACAATTTCACAACCAATCTATGACTGTGATGATCTACATAATAATTTCACAGTGTAAATACTAGAAAATACAGTAGTGCATATCAATGATTTCAATAGTAATGATAAATGTGTGATGATTAATGGAATATTATGGTTATATAATTGTACAGAATTATGACCATGTGTTACAGATCAGTATATATGGTAGTGAAGTCAACAGCTACTAAACATTCTAACCTGTACTAGCCTGGTGTATAGTAGAGGTGCTAAACTCACTGCTGACGAGGAAGTCAAACTTAGAAAGTAATATGTAAGTATATTGGAGCATGCCTGGAGGGATCTATCTAGAGAAGAGAACTAATGCAAATTGTGATTTTTAGTTTACTTACAATTTTTTTGTCTTCATCTCACGCTCTGACACCGGGGACACTTGAAATGCTGGTAAATGTATGACACCTTCTGCCTTCATGTCCTACAATAACAGCGTTACATTAACTGGTAATCAAGTACAGAGCCGTCTAATAAAAGGTGGAGTTGTTAGCTCATCGTAAGTGATGAGCAACACCTTCTGTCACTTTTACGGGTTATAATTCGGAATTACTAAACATGCCAGTTTACTAACTCTTGATGTTTGACATGGTGCTTCCCCACCACGTACACTCATCCACTATGTAGAAACGTACTGGGAGATTTACATTTAGGAATTCTTTATAAAATTTCTTTAAGCATATCAAAGGATTAGGCATTAATCTTTCTAATCTTCCCATTGGGTATGATGCCACTCAGGAAGGAGGGGAGCATAACCTTCGATTGAACAACACTCATATCTTATTAATTGTAAATACACCATGTCTATTTATCTCCAAATTATCAATAAGTGTTTTATATAAAACACATTTAAGGTAATTTTACTACTGTAACAGTAATTGTACAGTTTGCATGATAACCTAATCGTTATGTTGCTGCTCTTTCAACATTCTCAGAATGTTGCTTCACGGTTGTGGACATTGTGACCAGAATTTTGACATTTTCACAACATTTTAAAAATGCACTACATGTCCAATGGGTGACTTTCTTTATCAATACAGCAGTGAGGGGAATATTTTGATAGCTTACACTCCTGAATATCAAATGTTGAATATAGATAGACTTTCATACCTCCTTATCCTTGAAGTAGAACATGTTCTGGTGTTTTAGGACACACCACCGTTTGAACCATTGTCGGGACAGTGGTCCATCCGCGCGACTCCTGCCCTTCCACAGCCAGCCCTGGCAGTCACCCTCTCCCAGGTCTCTACATGATACACGCCGGTCTGAAAAAAGTTACAGGTTACATAAGGTCAATCAAGAGGTCACAGCTAGGTTACAAAAGTCATAGGTCGCAAAAGTTCAATCAAGAGGTCACCAGTCACAAAAGTCACACTCGGGTCACATAAGGTCTATCAAGAGGTCACTGGTCACAAAATACTTGAAGGTTATCAAGAGGTCACAGGCTATGCAAATTCAATCAAGATATCACACATTACATAAGGTCAATCAGGAGGTCACATGTTAAACATTGAATTTCATTCAAGAAGTTAAATGTCACAAAGTCAATTAGGGGTTCATAGAAACTACATTGGTCCATTCACTGTACCTTTATCAAGATTATATAACCAATCACAAAAGATTTCAACTATGTCATACTGAAGGTCATGGAAGGTCAGAATGTCCCTACCAAGAATTGCTGATGGTCATGGAAGGTCACAAAGTTCAATAGATTGTTGTTGTAGATAACATCAGGTACTGAACACCATGATTGAGGGAATAAATAAATTCCAGGCTTTAATATAGTACTGAACACCATGATTGAGGGAGTAAATAAATTCCAGTCTTTAACATAGTACTGAACACCATGATTTAGGGAGTAAATAAATTCCAGGCTTTAATATAGTACTGAACACCATGATTGAGGGAGTAAATAAATTCCAGGCTTAAACATAGTACTGAACACCATGACTGAGGAAGTGAATAAATTCCAGACTTTAACATAGTACTGAACACCATGATTGAGGGAGTAAATAAATTCCAGGCTTTAACATAGTACTGAACACCATGATTAAGGGAGTAAATAAATTCCAGGCTTTAACATAGTTCTGAACACCATGATTGAAGGAGTAAATAAATTTCAGACTTTAACATAATACTGAACACCATGATTGAGGGAGTAAATAAATTCCAGGCTTTAACTTAGTACTGAACACCATGATTGAGGGAGTAAATAAATTCCAGGCTTATCCTAGTTCTGAACACCATGATTGAGGGAGTAAATAAATTCCAGGCTTTAACTTAGTACTGAACACCATGATTGAGGGAGTAAATAAATTCCAGGCTTATCCTAGTTCTGAACACCATGATTGAGGGAGTAAATAAATTCCAGGCTTTATCATAGTTCTGAACACCATGATTGTGGGAGTAAATAAATTCCAGGCTTTAACATAGTTCTGAACACCATGATTGAGGGAGTAAATACATTCCAGGCTTTAACATAGTACTGAACACCATGATTGAGGAAGTAAATAAATTCCAGGCTTTAACATAGTACTGAACACCATGATTGAGGGAGTAAATAAATTCCAGGCTTTAACATAGTTCTGAACACCATGATTGAAGGAGTAAATAAATTTCAGACTTTAACATAATACTGAACACCATGATTGAGGGAGTAAATAAATTCCAGACTTTAACATAGTACTGAACACCATGATTGAGGGAGTAAATAAATTCCAGGCTTTAACATAGTTCTGAACACCATGATTGAGGGAGTAAATAAATTCCAGGGTTTATCATAGTTCTGAACACCATGATTGAGGGAGTAAATAAATTCCAGGCTTTATCATAATTCTGAACACCATGATTGAGGGAGTAAATAAGTTCCAGGCTTTATCATAGTTCTCTTGTTTTGTTTGATATGCATGATTTTTTCATCAACCGTCATACAATTTGTGAAATTTCACTAATTTTGCAGGAACATAAAACAACAAATGTAATGACACAGAAACTGACCAACACATAAACATACAGATGATAACGTACCACACAAATCATACTGACACATGTCACCACACAAATCATGCTGCCACGCAAACAATATAACATATACAAAAATATAAACTCAACATAACCTTTGTTCCATGTTCAGTGTTTCTATATGTATTTGTTTGTTTTTAAATTGTAGCAAAATGAACACTTACCAACTTTTTTGGTCTTTTTTGGTCGTAGCATCACATTCCCAGACTTGAAAAGAGAAAAAAAATCAGTAGCAGCATCATATGTTTACACTTTTAAAGTATATAATTAACACATGTAAACATATCTCATGTAACTTGTATTATACCTTTATTTTAGCAAATGTCTAAATTATAAGGCAGATTATTGTAAGCCATTCCAACTCCCCCTCCTTCAGACTTACTTAAGTATTTAACAACAACAAAGGGCCATAACTCTGTATATAATGGGACACAACCTGATTTCTGTGTATTACATTCTGCCATCCGAAGGGGTACTCACATAAAAATTGTGTCATTGTAGGTGACCCAGTATGTTGGATATGCACCAAAAATAGTGAAGCACATTGAACACAGGTCCATAATGAAATACATAGTGGGCTACAAGATCAATTGGGGATTGTAAGATATGTCTGGAAATGACAGATTGACTAACAGAGGGAGTGTAGAAACATGTAGCTAAATAGTACTGGTGGGGCCGAATAATTAAAAACATTGCAATTTCTTTGCATAACCTCATCATCAGATGCTGATGCTGCTCTAGAGGGGCAATCTATAGCCTTCAATACCATAAAGTTCTAGTGACTGGTTGTTACGGGGTAGAGGCTCAGTAGATATGATGTAACAAAGGTGACTATGAACTGTCAAACGTAGTAAGCTACATTACTGTTACCAGGTAAGGTACATACTTCCATGGAGGAGGTCTTCTCCAGTGGGATCTTCTGGGGGACGCCACTCACTATCACCACCTTGTAACTGAAAAATATAAAATAGCCTGTTTGTAAGTATGGTTAGAATTTTATCAACATTTGTTGATCCACATTCTCAGAGATATTGTATACACATGCATTCACATTCCAAATTCTACATTCTAGAGGGGCCGCGGAGGCCAAGTGGTTAAGGTGTCTGACATTCTGCTACCACTAGCCCTCCACCACTAGGTCGCGGGTTCGAGACTTACATGGGGCAGTCGCAAGGTACTGGCCGTAGGTCAGTGGTTTTTCTCTGGAAACTCCAACTTTCCTCCACCAACAAAACCTGGCACGTCCTTAAATGAGCATAGCTGTTAATAGGACGTAAAACACAAACAAACCAAACCAAACTACATTGTAGACATATGACATTGAACCTGAACTTTGACCCCTTTGTTAATCAGTTTTTTTTCTTTCTATTACAGTAGCTATAGTTACTGATATATATATATTGTATGAACACTTTTTGTTTTGACATTTGATTCCAGAAGTACAAGGCAATTAAAGAAGTTTGTTATCGAGAACTTCGATCCCCACCCACCCAATGTTAATACCAATCATAGCAATAACAAAGATACATTTGGCTTATATCTATAAACTGATGTTGCCAAAGAAATAGTAATTTTTCTCTAAATTCTAGACACCAGAGCAAGACCTTCATGTTTGACCTCTAAATGCTGTACAGAAGTTTATAGAAGTGTTATGTCATTGGTCAGTAATTACCAGAAATATGCAAATAAAGTTGTAATAAACCCTCTATGTGTTACTAACATCTGTCACAAACAATATTAGGGATACTTTCGTATCGTGATTCTGGTATATACAATGTAATAAGGTAACAGATTTTCCCACAGTTTAAATTCAGTAATGATAAATCTTTACACTCAGAAATAACAAAATTACCAACAGAAGAAGACGAATCGTAGGACAGGGCAAAAAGAAAACAAGATCATGTCTGTGACACATCAATTTCCCTGGCAGCTTAATTAGCCAGTCCTACACATGTTTTACATAACATTTTATACAAATCAGAAGAAATTGAAGCTAGCCAAAGATGTTCTGTTTAACAATGTTCTTTACCATAGATCCAAAACTGTGAAATACAAAGTCATTAGTGAATAGATTTTATCCAGATAAAAAATTCACAATACATGTAATAGCAACCTTGATATGCCAATTTGTTAAAGATATTTGTGTACAGAATTTTTGTAGTTTTATTAAAAACAAATGGAAATGTATGGTGGTAAAGTGAGAACAATAAAGTGTGAAGGATGAACAGACAGACATGGGCGACACATGCTATATGCACCCCTCGGTGATGATGGCCATATTTATCAAACACTCCATAGAAATACCTAAATTTTGAAATCTGGTATTCACAGAATTATTATAAAAAAGAATGTCTACCAGCTTAGACAATGTTGTTTTTAAGTAAGTTAATACATTTACCCATGTTTTTTAGGCATTTTCTCCTGTTTTAGCCTGTGTATTAAGGTCCAATCATTTCACACTGAGATACGCTGAAGGGGTACATCTCTCACACATCTTTTGTACACTGTAGAAATTGTAGACTTTAACAAATGTTTGAACTGCTATGGAAATATTTCTGATTTCACTTTCCAAACTCCTATAGTTTCTAGTTAAACGTTCTACCTGACAGGTGAAAATGAGGAAGTATTGTCACCTAGTGACAGTCACCTTCCTTTATCTGTCTAGCACGATATACTGATTGAACAGATCTTATAGGCACGGTAAACACGAGCTCCATTTGACCATAACATTGAAGTAATACCAGCCGGAGGATATTTTCCAAAATATAAAAATCTTCCTGTTCGACAAACCCTGAAGTCTACAAATCGAGTCACCAATAATTTGTACAAGTATGTCTTGAAACTGCAGCATATTTGGACAAAGGATGAGTTAATGGTAAGTTTAATGCTGTGTTGATTAACTGGGCTGGTGAATAGCAAACAGCAGAATATTTGGATAACAGTAAATGGTGAGCTATAAATATACTGGATAATATTTTTTAAGAGACTCCTTTCACTGTTGGTTTGTATAGAAAGTATGTTGAAACATGTGTAGCTATATATTCGAAATCTTTGTTGTATAACACTCAATATCAAAATATCAATTTTATTTTGCAATAATGATGATAGAATAACAGGTATTTCCAATTTGCATTAATCACTTCTGCTAGCTTAAATGAAAGCTAGCACACAGGGGTCTTAATACTAGAGGAAACCAAAGTACCCAGAGAACACCTACTTAGTCGGGTGTGTGACCCAATACTTTTTTACATTTGATCGGGGAATCAAACCCTAGCCATCCTGGTGAGAGGCTCAGTGCACTTCCCACTGGGCCACACAATTTGTGATAGTATATGAGCTAAGTGTCAACCTTCTGTTTCCCATTGATATATGTATGTTAACTTGATGGATACAATAAAGATCCTACATAGGCGACATTGATAGTTTATCAATCAGTACTTACCAGGCAGGTATATATATTCAATTTACGGATAATTTTTTTAAGTTAAGAAGTTGTAATGTGTACATATCTCTATGTTTAGCAAGGAATGTTTACATTGAAATATACATACTTCCTGGTTTTATCCATTTTCAGATAAAGTTAACTAGGACAGAAGGTAAAAACTAAACACAGCTGAACTTCCCACTATATATATAACTATCAATAGTAGGCTCTTTTTTATTTTCTATTTATCAACACTATCTTTATCAACCAACAATATACCATACTGGTTCTTCCTACATTCAACATATACTAAAATAACCTGATTTACCAACAATTAATACTACAATGTCTCCATCTACCACTTATATACCACACTGACATTATTTACCAACAATATACTACAATGTTTCTCCATCTACCACTAATATAGCACACTGACATTATTTACCAACAATAAACTACAATATACTACTATGTCTCGATCTACCACTAATATACCACACTGACAGTATTTACCAACAATATACTACTATGTCTCGATCTACCACTAATATACCACACTGACATTATTTACCAACAATAAACTACAATGTCTCCATCTACCACTAATATAACACACTGACATTATTTACCAACAATAAACTACAATGTGTCCATCTACCACTAATATAACACACTGACATTATTTACCAACAATAAACTACAATGTGTCCATCTACCACTAATATACCACACTGACATTATTTACCAACAATAAACTACAATGTGTCCATCTTCCACTAATATAGCACACTGACACTGAGAATATAATTTTTCTCTCAAGACACTTATATTTAAAATATAAATTTTCTGTCCAGACAATTCACTATTTTCCTGCTGCTTAATGAATCCTTCTGCTTAATGATTGTATGTTCTATAATAATGTAGCCTACCTGACCAACTCCTCTGTCACTGAGGAGGCTACACTGTCCAGGGAGGCATCTGAGCGACGCTGGGTCCCAGGGCTACTATTGGCACTCCAGCGTTGTCCTGGTGGGTCCTATAAATGAAAGACGACAAGTTATTAAGGTGCACTTTAAGTAACCATGAAAAAAGGGGGCAGTACTATTAAACTGTAAATGTCCTTGCCCCTAAAATGAATCTCCAATGCCCAGTGTTCTATAGCCCCTTACATATACAGCAAAACAAGAATGCTGTAGCCTCATGCATAACAGCCAAATCAAAGTGTTCAAGTCCTTTATATAACAGTTAGACCTCAGTGTCCTATAAAGCCCCTTATATAACAGTTAGACCTCAGTGTCCTATAAAGCCCCTTATATAACAGTAAGACCTCGGTGTCCTATAAAGTCCTTTATATAATAGTTAGACCTCAGTGTCCTATAAAGCCCCTTATATAACAGTAAGACCTCAAGTGTCCTATAAAGCCCTTTATATATAACAGTTAGACCTCAAGTGTCCTATAAAGCCCTTCATATAACAGTTAGACCTCAGTGTCCTATAAAGCCCCTTATATAACAGTAAGACCTCAAGTGTCCTATAAAGCCCTTTATAGAAAAGTTAGACCTCAGTGTCCTATAAAGCCCTTTATATAACAGTTAGACCTCAAGTGTCCTATAAAGCCCTTTATAGAAAAGTTAGACCTCAGTGTCCTATAAAGCCCTTTATATAACAGTTAGACCTCAGTGTCCTATAAAGCCCTTTATAGAACACTGAGGTCTAACTGTTATATAAAGGCCTTTATATAACAGTTAGACCTCGGGGGGCTATAAAGCCCTTTATATAACAGTTAGCCCTCAGTGTCCTATAAAGCCTTTTATATACAGTTAGACCTCAGTGTCCTATAAAGCCGTTTATATAACAGTTAGCCCTCAGTGTCCTATAAAGCCTTTTATATACAGTTAGACCTCAGTGTCCTATAAAGCCCTGTATATAACAGTTAGACCTCAGTGTCCTATAAAGCCCTTTATAGTACACTGAGGTCTAACTGTTATATAAAGCCCTTTATATAACAGTTAGACCTCAGTGTCCTATAAAGCCCCTTATATAAAGGTAAGACCTCAAGTGTCCTATAAAGCCCTTTATATAAAAGTGACACCTCAGTGTCCTACAAAATTAACCCCTTATATAACAGCAAGAATTCAGTGTCCTATAAAACCCCTTACATAACAGTAATAATTCAGTGTCCTATAAAGCCCCTTATATGACAGTTACACTTCAGTGTCCTATAAGGCCCCTTATATAACAGTAATAATTCAGTGTTCTATTAAGTTCCTTATATAACAGTAAGAATTCAGTGTCCTATAAAGCCCCTTATCTATATAACAGTTAGACCTCAGTGTCCAATAGCCCCTTATCTATATAACAGCCAGATCCCAGTGTCCTATAGACCCTTAGTTATATAACAGCCAGACGTCAGTGTCTTTCAGCCCCATAAATAACAACCATGCCTCTGTGTCCTATAGACCCTTAGTTATATAACAGCCAGACCCCAGTGTCCTATTGCCCCTTATTTATATACAAGCCATGCCTCTGTGTCCTATAGCCCCTTATTTATATACCAGCCAGATCCTAGTGTCCTATATCCCCTTATTTATATATCAACTAGACCCAAGTGTCCTATAGCCCTTTATATACCAGCCAGACCCTAGTGTTTTATAGCCCCCTATTTATATACTAACCAAACCTCAGTGTCCTATAGCCCCTTATTTATATACCAGCCAGACCCTAGTGTTTTATAGCCCCCTATTTATATACTAACCAACCCTCAGTGTCCTATACCCCCTTATTTATATACAAGTCATGCCTCAGTGTCCTATAATCCCTTATTTATATACCAGCCAGACGTCAGTGTCCTTCAGCCCCATAAATAACAACCATGCCTCTGTGTCCTATAGACCCTTATTTATATACCAGACAGACCTCAGTGTCCTATTTCCCCTTATTTATATACCAACCAGACCTCAGTGTCCCATAGCTCCTTATTTATATACCAACTAGACCCAAGTGTCCTATAGCCCCTTAGTTATATAACAGCTAGACCCCAGTGTCCTACAGCCCCTTATTTATATAACAGCCAGACCCCTAAGTTGTAGCCCCATATATACCAGCCATAAACCTGTGGTGTATCCCCATATATAACAGTCAGCCCCCAGTGTCATATAGCCCCTTAGTTATTTATATAATATCCAGACCTCAGTTCCTTATAGTCCCGTGTCTAACAGCCAGAACCCTGTGTTGTAACCCCATATATAACAGCCAGACCCCTGTGTTGTAGCCCCTTATATAACAGCCAGAACACTGTGTTGTAGCCCCATACATAAGTCAGACCCCTGTGTTGTAGCCCCTTATATAACAGCCAGAAACCTGTGTTGTAGCCCCAGATATAACAACCAGAACCCTAAGTTTTAGCCCCATATATAAAAACCATAACCCTGTGGTGCAGCCCCATATATAACAGCCATAACCCTGTGTCGTAGCCCCATATATAACAACCAGAACACTGTGTTGTAGCCCCATATATGACAGTCATAAACCTGTGGTGTATCCCCATATATAACAGTCAGACCTCAGTGTCATATAGCCCCACATATAACAGCCATAACCCTGTGTTGTAGCCCCAGATATAACAACCAGAACCCTAAGTTTTAGCCCCATATATAAAAACCATAACCCTGTGGTGCAGCCCCATATATAACAGTCAGACCTCAGTGTCATATAGCCCCACATATAACAGCCATAACCCTGTGTCGTAGCCCCATATATAACAACCAGAACCCTAAGTTGTAGCCCCATATATAACAGCCATAAACCTGTGGTGTAGCCCCATATATAACAGTCAGACCTCAGTGTCATATAGCCCCATATATAACAGCCATAACCCTGTGTTGTAGCCCCATATATAACAGCCAGAACCCTGTGTTGTAGCCCCATATATAACAACCAGAACCCTGTGTTGTAGCCCCATATATAACAGTCAGAACCCTGTGTTGTAGCTCCATATATATTTTAACTTGTTTACAGCACATGATCAATTCTTATTTTAAGACAAAGGACATATAGTATAATATTGAGGGCAGAATCATTAACTCACCGAGTAGATAGATTTCAGACATTAAATTGTCCATAATTATTAAAATCAGGCTCCATGCACAGTCACGTAATACACATATGACAGCTATATTTGTACACTTCCTAAATACAATTTGAGGGAAACTCCCATCCCTTCCACACTACATCGACCTCAATGCATTCAGTTAGTAATTAGTGTAGGCAATAATACAAGTGACAGTAATTCCTGGTTTACTACACTATATACAATGTAAGTGAGAAAGACAGCGATACCTGGTACCATACCTGGTATGGAGGGAAACTCCAGGCTTCTCCACTTTATCAGTACATGTTTACCTTTATAAATGGTGGGTAACTCTCAACACATCAATGACTTCTTAGAGTCCTAACACTACAACCTCACTAGACGACCTTGACCGTATACAATACCACACAGATAATTCTACAGGTGATCAATCATCCGTGACACTATGACAATATATGGTACAGGTAAAAACAGGAAGGAAGTCATTTGCATGTAAAACTGGATTTTTTAAAATCAAATCTACAGGGGACATATGTGCTAATACAGGATAACAAATTGCTGTCAATATTTACCTATCCACTGAGTTCACACACACTCATATCTATTTCCAAATTTTAATGCATTCTTACAAACTAAAGGGTTACTTATCCTGATTTAGCCTACTACTACTACTTAATGTGGCCCCTTACTCCTTTTGTTGTGTTTCTGTAACCTTTATAGCCATGTACTGTCTTACCATACAACTGCACATGTAATTGTGTAACTATGAAAACCTAAACCTTACTTACTTCCTTATCTATCTTATAAATGTTATTAAAAAGTAACTATCTTGTCAACTTCATTTTAACAAATATATTACATTGAACCATTTCTCTCTATCATAGGCACACTTGTATGTACTTGATTCTTGTTACTTTAGCTGTATATAGATACATGTACATACATTGACATCAATATTCATGATTATATCAGCTGGATAAAAAGTCATCTTTAATTAACAAACTATTCTGGCAATTTTAGTTTTGATAAGCCCGGAATATTTGGATGATTTGCCGTAAAAAAGAATGTTGTTAATTTAATTTAATTAATTTAATTCAAAAATATCACAAAACAGTTGTCCTATATTAAAACACACATAAATGTTTGTTTTCAGTGTAATGTATATATGAAGTAGTATTCATCAGATCAGTTTTCAGTGTAATGTATATATGAAGTAGTATTCATTAGAACAGTTTTCAGTGTAATGTATATATGAAGTAGTATTCATTAGAACAGTTTTCAGTGTAATGTATATATGAAATAGTATTCATTAGAACAGTTTTCAGTCCTTCTTAACTGTATCGTGAGGTTTTTTTCACGAAATTTAAATCAAATTGTTAGAAAAAAAATTGAAATTTAAAAGAGCATGATGATTTAGCAGTGCATTGTAATATATCTGTCTTAACACACATACAAAATAAATCTATTGGAAAGGAGGACACCCCACAGTAGACAATCTACACATATCAAATCAATGTTCTAGATAATCTAGGAATCAATGATAATATATATAGTACCATGAGAAGTCATCTACCTAATATCTCCGATATCTCTAGATTTTTTTTTATATTTCCAAGGAACATAAAAAGATGCAATGTATAATTTTTTCTATATCTATAATAACAGTGTTGTCAATACCTAACAATTAGCAAAAAAAAAAAATCAATTTTAACCCATATTTGAAAAACCCACCAAATACCTGAAATACTTGATGATGGTTTTCTGCCATCGTTTAAGATCACCTACTACTCCATCCCCCTCAAAACAAAGCTGTAGGTCCAAGTGTAGTAGTATCTACCTAGGGTCTTAATAGGTCAATCTGGCCTCCACTAAATTACACTGACTTCACATCTTAAAAGGATTTTTCTTTCCCCCCCTTAGACATTCTGGAAACAATACTGTTAAGG